AAGTATACAGAGGTTTGAAGCCCATAACCTGGTCCATAGAAGGGTAGTTGCGAAAGAGATTGCCGAGTGGCGTAGCACGTTGATAAGATGTTAGTTAATTGACATTTCCAGTAAGCATGGATAACGGGCCTACAGCCCAAAAACCGTCGCATTGAAACTGTCAGTGTTGTTTGTTGCATTAGCCATTGTCGCTTGTGTGATTGTTGCTATAAAACTGAAAGAGAAATTTTGTTTCCATACATAAAAAAATATCCATGTTAAATCCCTGTTATTAGAAAATCCTTATCCGCGTCATTTTCTAATTCAATGTACCATCTGTCAAAAATTAAATTTCCTGGGTTATTGGTTACAGAGAGGGTGATTAGTTTTCCTGTGACATTTTATCAATAGGTGAGTGTTTCACTTTTGAGTGGGATCCTTTGCATTCAGAACAAACATGTGCAAATTTGCACACTGAACGTGTACATCCTTGATTGCTATTGTAATCCTTGCAAGGATAAGGGAGACTTGTAGTCGATCCTTTGACAGAGGCTTGGTGCTGGGGTTTAGTTATGTTAGCCTGTTTCCTTTTGAGGTACTTTAGCTCAAGGTGGCTCAGGTCAGAGCCCCAGGGGAATCCATGTAGATGCTGGGCCCTTCTATACTCCCGATCTAGGGCCCTTCTATACTCCCGCTCTAGGGCCAATATCCCCTGCCATTCATATATAATTGCGTACTGAAACATTTTTACAGTATAGGATTGGTATTCCAAAATACCCTGTGCTTGTAGTTTACCAGATTGCACAAGCTTGGCCATGATCCTTGTATTGGCTATTGCCCATTCAAATGGAGAAATTTTGTCCTCTCGTTTTCTTTGCTTCGAGAATAACAGATTTTTGTCCTTATCACTAGAAAGAACTAATCCTGGTCACGATCATCAACCAGCTGATCTACGAAATCAATAATTCGTAACTCACCTACAGAGCTACTCTGCCTCGGTGTAAGGTAGATGAGTGCCGATATAGCAGCTGCCATCCCATGCACAGACACTGGACTCACAGAGGGTGCTTCGGGCACTAGACATTGAGGTGATATGTCCGGTGGTCCTGATAGGTGCCATGACCAACGTTCATAAGAGTGGTATAAGTATGACTGTCCAACACTAGGCTCCCTTTTTATTTCTGTAGATAGGGTATCAATTTTTTTTATTTATTTCTGTAGATAGGGTATCCATTTTTACTAATTCCTGGTGTAAGGTAGATGAGTGGCGATATAGCGGCTGCCGTCCCATGCACAGACACTGGATTCACAGAGGGTGCTTCGGGCACTAGACATTGAGGTGATATGTCCAGAGGTCCTGACAATAAACTCGATATAGGGATAGGTGCCGTGTCAATGGCTGGTTGTACTGTTTCCTTTGTGGCAAGGTATTTGCGCAGTATACAAATATCCCCTGCCCTCATCCCAATAGAAACAATTGTTTGACTGTCCAGGGCATCTATGGCCTCACTTGAGACGAAATCTTCCTGGCGGAGCATCCCCTGCCCATGCTGAGAAATTCCTAAGCTCCTGCAAAATTCTCCCAACATATCGACTTCCTCGCTGGTGGCATGTTGTCTTTTTTTATGAATAATTATTATTCATTAGTAATTACTTTGCAAAATTCAAGATTCAATTATCATGCTAAGTCTTGCCAGCTAGAACAAGAAGCAACTAACTAAACTGGTCTCCTGGCCATATGGCTAGGAAGACTGAAACAAGATATCCGCCCTTACAGTAAATTGCAGGGAACATATTTAATCCAATGAATAGTACAATAATAAATGCTAAGACACTGATCAGCAGGTCAGTATTACCTTACATGATTTGCTCATACTTTAAATTAAGTTTAATTACTTAAACTTTTAAATCTCAAGTCTTCAAATCAACTCAAATATGAAAATAATTTTCCTGTTCTTTTTCCAAAAATTTTGAGTGAGTTTGAATGAGATGTTTTGAAAGAATTCTTCAATCCAATTCATTTTTTGATAACAAATGACTAAACTTTGTATTTCGAAGCATTTCCTTTACATTGTTTGTAGCATAATGTAGAATTTAGGATGGACAACTGAGTTTCCTAGTAAGGGTCAGATTTGCAGCAATAAGTGGTGGCAACACTTAACACCCTTCGTTTGTTTTTCAAACCTAAGATTTTCACAATGACTTGTTGGTTTTAAATTTTTGCCTTTATGAGATGTTGACTGTTTGTTAGCCATCTCAAAACTGTAACCCAAAATTCTTTGATGATATGATGATGATAGGTGGAAATAAAGTTGAAGTTGGGAATCAGCTTGCAGTCATAGATTTTTTCTCTGAATTTTCTTTGAATATCTCAATTAACAGTATTCAGAGATTCATGACAAAGAGATGCAGTATACACACCCTGCAACTATTTTCCCTTCTTCCTTGGAATATTTCCATATACGATAATCGCATAATTCAAGACTTGTTGCGCCCAATCTATCAATTTTCCTGTATTTCTATTGTACGACAGTTGATTTTGAGGAGAGATGATTATGATACTCCTAAAAACAAAATATAACCTTACCTGTTCAGAATCTCTTTGATTATGATCTAATTCGGCTCTATAGGCAGAAAACTCTCACAAATTACATTTTGATATGACGATCAATCATCTCGCTATCTATCCTAAACTTGGGAATAAGGAGAGACACAAATGAATAAAAACAAGGAGCACACGTGTCTTGAGATTCATGAACTTACCTCGATGATGTTTTGGCGCATTTGCAGGTTTTCTAATTGTATTAATGGAACATCATTAGATGAAATACTGGCTGAAGTATTTGCGATATTGAAACCCTTGGAGAAAGAACCAAGTGCCAAGTGATATTTGTTGAATTGTTTTTTGTAAGTTACATCTTAAATTGACATGATTTTAATCAACTTATTGCAAATTTACATTTGTCCTTTGATATATATATCTTATAACCTATCAGATGTCATATATGAATGACATATAAGTCATAGTTTACAGTATAAATAATATACAGAACTATGGTACATTACTAACTATGAATCTAAATACACATCTACAACACTACATCAGCATTGCCTGCAAGGTATCAATCAAAATTTTTATAAGAAGGTGGTGGTGTTTTCAGGGGTCGTCCATTGTATGACCAGGTACCTTGAATCACTCTTTCTTCATTAAACCCATTATTGTCGAAACATTCATTTAGAAAAATACTATGTGGGCTGATTTTCGAACCTGAATCCATTTGAGCTTAGGCCACTTAACTCATCCTCCTTAAAATAAATATAAATAATACATAGTCCTCAGTTTAAATAAAGACAAACTAAATAATAAATACTAAATATTCATTGATTTAAAAAAAACTTTACTCGAATTAGGGATTACCTTTCTTTTATTGATCTTGAAGTTGTTGAAATTACTCTCTCTGTATTTAGTAAGATCTTTGACATCTGTGGCTCTCATGGAGAAAATCATGTAAGGATTTGTTGGGCGACACAAGGATAGGACGGTATTCCACTGGGGCGGGTTATAAACTGTTATTTTTTGCTTAAGATTATGACTATTTTTTTCAAAATTATCTGAAAAAAATAATATACAGTAAAACCTGCCGATGGAATACCTCTCTGTAGGGAAAACCTATGAACAAGGAATGCTTTTTAAAAGAACCAAATATTTTCCCATTGACTTACATGTTAATGGACCCTCTCTGTAGGGAAAACCTTTGAACAGGGAACAAGGAACACTATTTTGGGGCAAATTATGAAAATTCACCTGTGAACAAGGAATATGGAATATTGGTGACACTGTATATTCCATCATTTTTCAGAGGTGTGAAAGTCTTAAGCCAATATCTGATTCTAAAAAGCTTGGATTAATATGGCCAATCATGTGGCTGTGCTTTTAGCTTGGCAATCATACCCACTGGTATAAATAAATCAATATCGAATAAAATAAGACAATTCTTTTTCACATCTGTGTCGGGAAATACATAAACAAAACTTACTTATTAAGGGGAAACATGGAAAATTCCTCGTGAATTCTGATACTGAGTAATTATTTTTTCCCAAGCCCTTTGGAATAAGATTTGCCAATATTTATTTTTGACTCCTCACAAATTCTTCTAATATGCCTAGTAGTGCCTTGTCTTTCCTTAGGGACTCTGGTTCTTCCCCTTTCCATCTCCTTGGTTTGGGTGGCATGGCTATGCCCCGTACTCCAGTAAACGTGATCAATATAGAGTCATTTTTTGTTAACTTAAATTAATCTTTGTTTTGGTCTGAATGGGAATCGATGTGCACTTAGATTGATGATGTAAACAAATGTTGACCACAAAATGACCGCTGCAAACAAATAACAAATGTCAGAGTGTCGTTCAAAATGAGAATTCTACGTTGATCTGTTGGTTTAAGGGACATAGCCTACCTTCCTAGAAAGGTAAGATATTTATCTTGGACAATATGGTCAGGAATACGTTAAAAATCGCTAGTTTTCATGCTCTGCAGCTTAAATCAGTCTTGCTCAGTTTGATTTGTCACTCTTGAAAACATGTTTTCGAATCTAGGGTTTATCTTCCTCTGGATGACTTTTATCCCAGCCAACTTTATCAAACGTGTAATTTAACGCAAGTAAATAGTTTATAAGTTCCGGTTTTATAATATGATTGCAAATTAGAAATCAATACAGACATTGCTGAGATATTCACATTTCAATTCTTTCTGTGATAGTGTCTACATTTAATGATCTTATTTCCACCGTTCTGGTCACATACGACCGATTACGTTTTACACGATATACATGATTATATATGTAAGAGTTAAAAAGAATAACCATATTGTTCATAAAGCGCTACACTGGTCATTTATCTTTCAGAGCAAGACAACATGGATGAATCCGACGTACAAACTAAGTGAGTGTCTATTTTATATAGGAATATTGATCTAATCTAAGCTTAATTTCCGTGGTTGAATTCAAATGTGGGCCATGCGTATTACAGGGTTGTGTAGCCAGCTTTTGATTGGGTGGGGGTGGGGGTGGGGGAGCCAATATCAGCAACGTTGTCGTTTCCTGTGTTACAGAAATAGTATTTGAACAGTGACGCTTCTTTTTGTAGGCCCCGTTCTGTAATAAAAACAAAACATTTTTAATTAAATATGGTTGCCTCGTTTCCTTCTTAAGAATGCTATATAACTGCCTCGTTTCCTTGAGAAACATGCCTCGTTTCCTAAGTGAGAGAATTGATATGTAAATATCTCAGCAATGCCAGTATTGATTTCTAATTTGTAATCATATTATTAAACCGGAACTTATGAACTATTTACTTGCCAAATATTAAGTTTTAATTTGAAGGATAAAAGCACGAAAATTATAAAAAACAAAAATCTTACCGAATGAAATTTTTTCACGCGCCACCATTTTGATACTAGGCAAAACCTCCCTCGTTTCCAGTTCATCCCCAGTGAATTTTACAGATTCCGAATTTGACATTGGAATTGAAATTCGACTTCAGTTTCAGATTCTTGTAACATGGTCAAATCTATGTGTTTAAACCCCAGTCAGGTAGAAACACATTAGAATGAGCTGTAGTTTATTTCAAAGGATGTATGGTTATATCAAAAGGAAAGAACATTATTTTTCTATTAAGTGTGACTTAAATGATGATTGACAGTTTTTAATAGTTCTATCCCTTAAAAACAATGTACAAATGTACATGTACCTTGCTATTTGCATTTTTAATCTAAACTTACTTACAAATATTCTGCTATATTCAAATTCGATGTTCACATCTGGACAGTCACCTGCAATTAATGCACTGAAGCTAGACTAGTTATAGCCCACTCACCCTTGCTTGGCTTGTCTATAACATTTCTATATTCTTCAGCTATCAACTCATTGCCTGTTCCATATGGTAACAATTTGTTAACATTTCTTTGAGTTTATCTTATATCCCTTTGTTTTACTGTGTTCTGCTTAGGGAATGTTAGCATCAGATTATTTAATTGCACCATAAACAGGGATATGCTTATGCAGGTAGATTGGAGTGCATATGTACATCCTAGTGTTCACAGCCCCTACTATGCCGCCAGATTGGTCGTAATTAGAATTGACAGGACCTCTTTCTGCAAGGAAGTCAAATGACCAAGCTCCTTTTCCCGCCCCCGTCTCATTGAGGAAGTTCCTCTTACAAGCGAGCTCGGCCTTCCCAGAGCTGCCCTTCCCACATCTTGAGGTATCATGTCTAATATTGAAATTTCAATATATAATTTTGCAGATTTAAAGATTTCTAAATTGACTCCTTGACCTTTAACTCCTTGACCTATAAATCAAACAAGAAAAGGGATAGCTGTATATCTTTTCAAATTGCATCATTAATCATAATGCATGGTGTATTGTTTAATAATGTAAACTGCGAAAATCAATATTGAAATATAAAAATGGCTACATACAGGTACTGGGGTGTTTTTGAAATTGCATTGATGAAAAAGTATTTTTAATTGAATAATTATTCATATAGTTCAGACTGATTGTGAATGTGATCTCGATATACCTTTCCTTCAGATTTTACATAACGTTTCCATTTACCTGATCAGGGCTGTAGAGTTGCTCTACACAGCCCCCCCCCTATATCTCAAAAGCTAAAAGTCAGGATCGACAAAGGTTTTCAGATTCATAATCAGTGACCTCAAATAAGGCAAAAACAAAAAGAAATTTGAAAAAATACTCAAAATAATTTTTTTGGACGAAACTGGAAATGACTTTTTACGTCATCAGTCAATAATTGCATTCTGGGCTGAAATGTTGAGAAACAACCTTTAGGCATTATTTAAGACCAAATCTAGAATTATAGCCCCACTGATCATCAAGAAGCTACTGTATAACTCTAACCTTAACCTTAACCCTAACCCGTAATCTCTCTAACCATGCGGCCAAAGTTCTTCTGTCGATTACTGCCGTCTGACAACATACTCAGTGGAGTGTAGTAAGATGCGTAGGTACATTCGGGCTGCCTCAAGAAGTCTTCGCCAATGATCTGCAAATGGCAAACCTCGTCTAATGGTTGTTCAAAGACAGTCGCCCACATGTTGTAAACATTCCTGTCGATTCTAGGGAACTGCCTAAAATATACGAAGAAAAACTTAGTACAGTAATAGTCGATGATTCATTTGATCTACAAACATCGGAAGCGGAAGGGTTGTACTCACTCCACTGATCCGAGAAAATCGTCTAATAGGGTAACATCTCTGCCCTCCTCTACCTCGATGTGAATTGAGTCCAAATTCTTGGCAAAAGCATGTAGAGTGTGCCGCTTAGCCTGACAGAGTGGTTTTGGCTTGGTCACTAGTAGGTCGTACACCTCTCTGCGGCTCAACTCCCCGTACCTCTCTCTGTTGTGGTTGTAGCTATAAGAAATAATCATTGATATATAATTTGTTTATCCGAGATTATCTTCAGCGAGAAATAATGGCTTAGCAAATGGTATGTACTAACATGAAACTGTGGATGGTCGTGTCGCACACTGCACTGATAGCCCCAAGCATAATGAGTCGAGCTAATTCCTGTTGTCTCTCTGTAGAAGCCCCGTCCAGGTGCAATAACTTAAACCAAGGAAAGAGTGGATGTAGTATCTCTCCCCACCGAGCTGTTGACAAGGCTGTTAGTAACTCCTTCAGTGTGTCTTCATCTTCTGGAACTGGTATCGTGGAAGCGTCCAAGGGTTCACGGAAACTGTAGTTAGCTGCTCTTAGTAGACGGTTGTTGCTGCCAGGCTTGGTTACTAGCTTGAGGGCTGGATATAGAACGCGTATACGTGTACCATCGAAAAAGTTACGGATGTACGCTTCGAGTGCAAATGTTAGAATTGCGTCCTTCACCGAGTCAATACCAAAATCAACGGAATTCTCCAGGAATACTACTACTGGCTTCAGGATGGAAGTGGCCAACTTTCTTGAAACATAAAATCATTTAAAATTACAACTTGCATTCATTAAAGAAACAATTTACTTATGATTGAGATAACATTCCGGTTATTAGCTCAGAGGTGCAGCGTGGAATTCTACCATAAGACTGTCAAAGGCAGACGTAAGATGTTCAAAATAGTAGTCGAACAAAGCCTGTACATTGTCTACACTGCATTTGGGTCATAAATCCCCCCCCCCTGCTCAGAATAACTTCGACCTCACACCTGAAAGAAGTTTTGAAATGATTAACTTGGTTTGAACAGTCGTTACAAGTTTCGTTTCGGTAAAAAGTTATTTAGTTTAAAGTAAGATTGATCTACATACCTGGTCCTGATGCAGTATTGCTCGTCAGCAAGGAGGGTGACAGCAGATCTGGCCGACATCAGTTGCCGTCTGGCCGACATCAGTTGCCGTCTGGCCAACATCAGTTGCCGTCTGGCCGACATCAGTTGCCGTCTGGCCGACATCAGTTGCCGTCTCGCCAGGTTCAGCATTTCCAATATGTGTACGTTGTTCTTGGTCGAGAACGTCTGGATTGTCTTTACGCCGAAAGCAGTATAAACATTCGCCATATCGTGAGTTTTCCAACCGTTGGTGATATCCCGAGGAAAGCCTAAGATGACATTAGGGTCATTAGTGTGAAACTCCGTGGCTAGCTTAACGCCCATAACGCCAACGCTGTCCAAATTTAGTCCATAAATAATCATAGCTCCAGTGCTCTCTGGTGGTGCCTTGGCCCCCATTTCTCGAACTAAGAAGTAGATCTTGTCCTCTGAGTTGGCATTATGAACTTGCAAGGAGGGATAGAGCATCAAAACTGGATTCAAAAGGTTTGACCTGGAATGGAAAGCATAAATTAAGACTTGTCTATTTATTAATCATAAGGCATTAACGTTTTCGTGATATTCGGTAAGTGATATGCAATTATTATTACCTGGCTCCGTGACTTCGCCGGGAGGCCCATTAGGATAGAGTAATTGAAGGTAACAGTGGGATCATTGGTGTTGTTTTCTCTGATATGATTGATGGCAGTTACAGTTCGTCCCAAAAACTGTTCATGTTGAAGTCTCAAGGTGTTAGTAATAAGACTCACAGTCAACATCCCCGTATAGCCGATGGTGAAAGTATACAGAGGTTTGAAGCCCATAACCTGGTCCATAGAAGGGTAGTTGTGAAAGAGATTGCCGAGTGGCGTAGCACGTTGATAAGATGTTAGTAAATTGACATTCACAGTAAGCATGGATAACAGGCCTACAGCCCAAAAACCGTCGCATTGAAACTGTCAGTGTTGTTTGTTGCATTAGCCATTGTCGCTTGTGTGATTGTTGCTATAAAACTGAAACAGAAATTTTGTTTCCATACATAAAAAATATCCATGTTAAATCCCTGTTATTAGAAAATCCTTATCCGCATCATTTTCTCATTCAATGTACCATTTGTCAAAAATTAAATTTCCTGGGTTATTGGTTACAGAGGGGGTGATTAGTTTTCCTGTGACATTTTATCAATAGGTGAGTGTTTCACTTTTGAGTGGGATCCTTTGCATTCAGAACAAACATGTGCAAATTTGCACACTGAACATGTACATCCTTGATTGCTATTGTAATCCTTGCAAGGATAAGGGAGACTTGTAGTCGATCCTTTGACAGAGGCTTGGTGCTGGGGTTTAGTTATGTTAGGCTGTTTCCTTTTGAGGTACTTTAGCTCAAGGTGGCTCAGGTCAGAGCCCCAGGGGAATCCATGTAGATGCTGGGCCCTTCTATACTCCCGATCTAGGGCCCTTCTATACTCCCGATCTAGGACCAATATCCCCTGCCATTCATATATAATTGCGTACTGAAACATTTTTACAGTATAGGATTGGTATTCCAAAATACCCTGTGCTTGTAGTTAACCAGATTGCACAAGCTTGGCCATGATCCTTGTATTGGCTATTGCCCATTCAAATGGAGAAATTTTGTCCTCCCGTTTTCTTGGCTTCGAGAATAACAGATTTTTGTCCTTATCACTAGAAAACCTGGTCACGATCATCAACCAGCTGATCTACGAAATCAATAATTCGTATCTCACCTACAGAGCTACAGAGCTACTCTGTAAGGTAGATGAGTGGCGATATAGCGGCTACCGTCCCATGCACAGACACTGGACTCACAGAGGGTGCTTCGGGCACTAGACATTGTGGTGATATGTCCGGAGGTCCTGATAGGTGCCATGACCAACGTTCATTAGAGTTGTATAAGTATGACTGTCCAACACTAGGCTCCCTTTTTATTTCTGTAGATAGGGTATCCATTTTTTTTTATTTCTGTAGATAGGGTATCCATTTTTACTAATTCCTGGTCACAATCATCAACCAGCTGATCTATGAAATCAATAATTCGTAACTCACCTACAGAGCTACTCTGCCTCGGTGTAAGGTAGATGAGTGGCGATATAGCGGCTGCCGTCCCATGCACAGACACTGGATTCACAGAGGGTGCTTCGGGCACTAGACATTGAGGTGATATGTCCGGAGGTCCTGACAATAAACTCGATATAGGGATACGTGCCGTGTCAATGGCTGGTTGTACTGTTTCCTTTGTGGCAAGGTATTTGCGCAGTATACAAATATCCCCTGCCCTCATCCCAATCGAAACAATTGTTTGACTGTCCAGGGCATCTATGGCCTCACTTGAGACGAAACCTTCCTGGCGGAGCATCCCCTGCCCATGCTGAGAAATTCCTAAGCTCCTGCAAAATTCTCCCAACATATCGACTTCCTCGCTGGTGGCATGTTGTCTTTTTTTATGAATAATTATTATTCATTAGTAATTACTTTGCAAAATTCAAGATTCAATTATCATGCTAAGTCTTTGCCAGCTAGAACAAGAAGCAACTAACTAAACTGGTCTCCTGGCCATATGGCTAGGAAGACTGAAACAAGATATCCGCCCTTACAGTAAATTGCATGGAACATATTTAATCCAATGAATAGTACAATAATAAATGCTAAGACACTGATCAGCAGGTCAGTATTACCTTACATGATTTGCTCATACTTTAAATTAAGTTTAATTACTTAAACTTTTAAATCTCAAGTCTTCAAATCAACTCAAATATGAAAATAATTTTCCTGTTCTTTTTCCAAAAATTTTGAGTGAGTTTGAATGAGATGTTTTGAAAGAATTCTTCAATCCAATTCATTTTTTGATAACAAATGACTAAACTTTGTATTTCGAAGCATTTCCTTTACATTGTTTGTAGCATAATGTAGAATTTAGGATGGACAACTGAGTTTCCTAGTAAGGGTCAGATTTGCAGCAATAAGTGGTGGCAACACTTAACACCCTTGTTTTTCAAACCTAAGATTTTCACAATGACTTGTTGGTTTTAAATCTTTGCCTTTATGAGATGTTGACTGTTTGTTAGCCATCTCAAAACTGTAACCCAAAATTCTTTGATGATATGATGATGATAGCTGGAAATAAAGTTGAAGTTGGGAATCAGCTTGCAGTCATAGATTTTTTCTCTGAATTTTCTTTGAATATCTCAATTAACAGTATTCAGAGATTCATGACAAAGAGATGCAGTATACACACCCTGCAACTATTTTCCCTTCTTCCTTGGAATATTTCCATATACGATAATCGCATAATTCGTGACTTGTTGCGCCCAATCTATCAATTTTCCTGTATTTCTATTGTACGACAGTTGATTTTGAGGAGAGATGATTATGATACTCCTAAAAACAAAATATAACCTTACCTGTTCAGAATCTCTTTGATAATGATCTAATTCGGCTCTATAGGCAGAAAACTCTCACAAATTACATTTTGATATGACGATCAATCATCTCGCTATCTGTCCTAAACTTGGGAATAAGGAGAGACACAAATGAATAAACACAAGGAGCACACGTGTCTTGAGATTCATGAATTTACCTTGATGATGTTTTGGCGCATTTGCAGGTTTTCTAATTGTATTAATGGAACATCATTAGATGAAATACTGGCTGAAGTATTTGCGATATTGAAACCCTTGGAGAAAGAACCAAGTGCCAAGTGATATTTGTTGAATTGTTTTTTGTAAGTTACATCTTAAATTGACATGATTTTAATCAACTTATTGCAAATTTACATTTGTCCTTTGATATATATATCTTATAACCTATCAGATGTCATATATGAATGACATATAAGTCATAGTTTACAGTATAAAATATATAATATACAGAACTATATGGTACATTACTAACTATGAATCTAAATACACATCTACAACACTACATCAGCATTGCCTGCAAGGTATCAATCAAAATTTTTATAAGAAGGTGGTGGTGTTTTCAAGGGTCGTCCATTGTATGACCAGGTACCTTGAATCACTCTTTCTTCATTAAACCCATTATTGTCGAAACATTCATTTAGAAAAATACTATGGGGGCTGATTTTCGAACCTGAATCCATTTGAGCTTAGGCCAGTTAACTCGTCCTCCTTAAAATAAATATAAATAATACATAGTCCTCAGTTTAAATAAAGACAAACTAAATAATAAATACTAAATATTCATTGATTTAAAAAAAACTTTACTCGAATTAGGGATTACCTTTCTTTTATTGATCTTGAAGTTGTTGAAATTACTCTCTCTGTATTTAGTAAGATCTTTGACATCTGTGGCTCTCATGGAGAAAATCATGTAAGGATTTGTTGGGCGACACAAGGATAGGACGGTATTCCACTGGGGCGGGTTATAAACTGTTATTTTTTGCTTAAGATTATGACTATTTTTTTCAAAATTATCTGAAAAAAATAATATACAGTAAAACCTGCCGATGGAATACCTCTCTGTAGGGAAAACCTATGAACAAGGAATGCTTTTCAAAAGAACCAAATATTTTCCCATTGACTTACATGTTAATGGACCCTCTCTGTAGGGAAAACCTTTGAACAGGGAACAAGGAACACTATTTTGGGGCAAATTATGAAAATTCACCTGTGAACAAGGAATATGGAATATTGGTGACACTGTATATTCCATCATTTTTCAGAGGTGTGAAAGTCTTAAGCCAATATCTGATTCTAAAAAGCTTGGATTAATATGGCCAATCATGTGGCTGTGCTTTTAGCTTGGCAATCATACCCACTGGTATAAATAAATCAATATCGAATAAAATAAGACAATTCTTTTTCACATCTGTGTCGGGAAATACATAAACCAAACTTACTTATTAAGGAGAAACATGGAAAATTCCTCGTGAATTCTGATACTGAGTAATTATTTTTTCCCAAGCCCTTTGGAATAAGGTTTGCCAATATTTATTTTTGACTCCTCACAAATTCTTCTAATATGCCTAGTAGCGCCTTGTCTTCCCTTAGGGACTCTGGTTCTTCCCCTTTCCATCTCCTTGGTTTGGGTGGCATGGCTATGCCCCGTACTCCAGTAAACGTGATCAATATAGAGTCATTTTTTGTTAACTTAAATTAATCTTTGTTTTGGTCTGAATGGGAATCGATGTGCACTTAGATTGATGATGTAAACAAATGTTGACCACAAAATGACCGCTGCAAACAAATAACAAATGTCCGAGTGTTCGTTCAAAATGAGAATTCTACGTTGATCTGTTGGTTTAAGGGACATAGCCTACCTTCCTAGAAAGGTAAGATATTTATCTTGGACAATATGGTCAGGAATACGTTAAAATCGCTAGTTTTCATGCTCTGCAGCTTAAATCAGTCTTGCTCAGTTTGATTTGTCACTCTTGAAAACATGTTTTCGAATCTAGGGTTTATCTTCCTCTGGATGACTTTTATCCCAGCCAACTTTATCAAACGTGTAATTTAACGCAAGTAAATAGTTTATAAGTTCCGGTTTTATAATATGATTGCAAATTAGAAATCAATACAGACATTGCTGAGATATTCACATTTCAATTCTTTCTGTGATAGTGTCTACATTTAATGATCTTATTTCCACCGTTCTGGTCACATACGACCGATTACGTTTTACACGATATACATGATTATATATGTAAGAGTTAAAAAGAATAACCATTTTGTTCATAAAGCACTACACTGGTCATTTATCTTTCAGAGCAAGACAACATGGATGAATCCGACGTACAAACCAAGTGAGTGTCTATTTTATATAGGAATATTGATCTAATCTAAGCTTAATTTCCGTGGTTGAATTCAAATGTGGGCCATGCGTATTACAGGGTTGTGTAGCCAGCTTTTGATTGGGTGGGGGTGGGGGTGGGGGAGCCAATATCAGCAACGTTGTCGTTTCCTGTGTTACAGAAATAGTATTTGAACAGTGACGCTTCTTTTTGTAGGTCCCGTTCTGTAATAAAAACAAAACATTTTTAATTAAATATGGTTGCCTCGTTTCATTCTTAAGAATGCTATATAACTGCCTCGTTTCCTTGAGAAACATGCCTCGTTTCCTAAGTGAGAGAATTGATATGTAAATATCTCAGCAATGCCAGTATTGATTTCTAATTTGTAATCATATTATTAAACCGGAACTTATGAACCATTTACTTGCCAAATATTAAGTTTTAATTTGAAGGATAAAAGCACGAAAATTATAAAAAACAAAAATCTTACCGAATGAAATTTTTTCACGCGCCGCCATTTTGATACTAGGCAAAACCTCCCTCGTTTCCAGTTCATCCCCAGTGAATTTTACAGATTCCGAATTTGACATTGGAATTGAAATTCGACTTCAGTTTCAGATTCTTGTAACATGGTCAAATCTATGTGTTTAAACCCCAGTCAGGTAGAAACACATTAGAATGAGCTGTAGTTTATTTCAAAGGATGTATGGTTATATCAAAAGGAAAGAACATTATTTTTCTATTGAGTGTGACATAAATGATGATTGACAGTTTTTAATAGTTCTATCCCTTAAAAACAATGTACAAATGTACATGTACCTTGCTATTTGCATTTTTAATCTAAACTTACTTACAAATATTCTGCTATATTCAAATTCGATGTTCACATCTGGACAGTCACCTGCAATTAATGCACTGAAGCTAGACTAGTTATAGCCCACTCACCCTTACTTGGCTTGTCTATAACATTTCTATATTCTTCAGCTATCAACTCATTGCCTGTTCCATATGGTAACAATTTGTTAACATTTCTTTGAGTTTATCTTATATCCCTTTGTTTTACTGTGTTCTGCTTAGGGAATGTTAGCATCAGATTATTTAATTGCACCATAAACAGGGATATTCTTATGCAGGTAGATTGGAGTGCATATGTACATCCTAGTGTTCACAGCCCCTACTATGCCACCAGATTGGTCGTAATTAGAATTGACAGGACCTCTTTCTGCAAGGAAGTCAAATGACCAAGCTCCCTTTCCCGCCCCCGTCTCATTGAGGAAGTTCCTCTTACAAGCCAGCTCGGCCTTCCCAGAGCTGCCCTTCCCACATCTTGAGGTATCATGTCTAATATTGAAATTTCAATATATAATTTTGCAGATTTAAAGATTTCTAAATTGACTCCTTGACCTTTAACTCCTTGACCTATAAATCAAACAAGAAAAGGGATAGCTGTAAATCTTTTCAAATTGCATCATTAATCATAATGCATGGTGTATTGTTTAATAATGTAAACTGTGAAAATCAATATTGAAATATAAAAATGGCTGCATACAGGTACTGGGGTGTTCTTGAAATTGCATTGATGAAAAAGTATTTTTAATTGAATAATTATTCATATAGTTCAGACTGATTGTGAATGTGATCTCGATATACCTTTCCTTGCGGCCAGGTTTCTTTATTTTAATGAACTGCTTGTACCAAATCTCTCCCGCATTCTCTTGAGAAACAT